TAGGAGCAACAACATAGTAATCCATAGGACTGAGGCCAAAAAGAGGAACTTCAGTCTGAAAAAAAGTTACTCAAGTCACAGAATTAGAAGATCTTTCACATACAATCATCTCCTCTTCACACAATATGTTAAAAATCTACATGGAAATAAAGCTAAAGTAGCAGTACAATAATCACTAGAAGTCCATGGCCGAGGAACTAAATTACATTTTGCTTACTGGATAGGGTTGTTTACAGCACTAAAGAGAAAGAGTTACAGGAGAGTGAACCTGAGTTAGGTCCAGACAATGAAATTAACTCTCCTGGCCCCAGGATCTCCTCCTTTTCAGGGTTAGCACATCACTGAAAGTCCTCACTAACATGGAGAGCAGAACACAGGTACTAAAGAAGAAACCACCACCATCAAAACAGTTTTTTACTGCATTCAGTTTTTTAATATGAGACTAGTCATAATGCTGAAAGGGCAGCAAATAAGCGCTCAAATACTAAATAAAGGAGAGATGAAGAACATTATAAGATCTTGTACAGAAATTAAATTTAAACATTTTAGAGCCTCAGGAAATGCTTTGACATTGCTTTGACCTGGCAATTTGGTCCTTCATTTTCAGTTTACTGATGAGATGATTATACCATCCTGCTGCTCGCAAGTCAGTTGCTGCACACTCTGAGCAGATATTTTCCCTTTTAACAAGTGCTTCTGGACAATGAATAAATAATAATAAAAAACAATTTAAAAACCCAACAAAAAACACCCCACCACTTTTTGCCTTGAGCCCAGACCATGCGTATGCTCTACCTGCTCAAAGGAGAGGCTAAAGGAAAATATGTGCAAGAGGTACCAAAACATAGGTGAGATGGTTGGACCCCACCAAGTCGCTTTCCTGAGCAGCTCTTTCACATTCGGAGCTGCACCCTTGCCCCTGCTCTGGGTGAATTGCTGAAAGGGGACCAGGTGTGATCACAGAGACAGAGTTCTTAAAGTTTCAGAAGCCTAAGAAAAGAGGGTCTTTTTCCCCACAGCCATCCTAACCCTTTTATTATGGAAGAATAAGGCAGAGCAGGCAGTTACATGTAATGGATTTTATGTAAGTTAACTCCTTTGGTGCCATCAACCAGGCTGTTGGTGCTGCTGGAGGTGTTGCTCCTATCAGTGTGATAATAGGCTCTGGATTTCTTCTCATACCTCAGAGACCAGAGGCTGTTCTGGTGCAGCTGGAAGTATACAGTCCAGCTTTGTTTAGCAGATGGCACACCAGTAGAAAGGAGGAATCCTAGCAGGTAGAGTATTAGCCCAGGATTCAGGTGATTCATACAAGCACTGCTCTCCAGGACAGGCTTTGCACCTGAGTTCAGCCAAGTGACAACTTCTCTGCCCACCCTGTAAAATGAGTGCAGTGGAGTGCAGCCTGCCAAAGAAACATCTTGAAGATGGCAAGGAGGTCAAGTTCCCTCTCAGTGGGAAGAGTAGCTCAGAGACAATATTCCACTGTGGTTAAGAGATCACAAATGGAAGATGCTCCCCAGGCAAGGCCTGGACTCTGTGAGCAAGAGAGCTCACCCCCCACCCTCAAAGCCCAGCGCCACCCACCCGCACACAGAGTGCTTTGAAATTCTATGCTTAGGAGCACCACATAGGTGCCAAGAGGTTTTATGGTTACACATTTGGGCTGCACATAGGTGTGCTTGATGCTTTCTTCCCCGCCTGCTAAAGAGCTCTCCTTGGGAGAGCTGCTCATCCATTGGCTGTCACAGCCCCTCTGCCTGGGGAGGCCAGGGGCCACCCCTCCAGTGCTACATGGCAGTAGCTAAATACAACCAAAGTCCACAAAAAAATATACATGTGCCCCAGCTTATAAAGGAGCCTGTATCTGACTTTTATTCCCTAACTTATTTGCAATACAATCACAAATCCTATTATTGCATTTAAGAGATGGGGAAACTCAGTTGTGGAGAGAAGTTCCTGCTCTCAATAAAGTAGCTTGTTTTTAATGAGCTACAGAAGTTGGATCCATCTGAACCCCTTTCCCTGATCAAGCCCTTGACTTTTTGCTTCTTCACATAACAACATGAGCCTAGGCTTGCTCTTTTACCAGTACATCTAGTACTGTAGGGAGACCAACTTAGCTTACTTCTGCTTTAAAGCATTTATTTCAAAGCACATTCCGGTCTGAGATTTGGAGATCCAGCTGACACTGTGTTTAGGTGTTTCTGGACTTGCACACAATTGGAAACAGTAATTATATGGGAGTGACTGGCTGAAGACTCAAATAGACCTGTGGCAGAAGCACAAATTTGAACCAAAGCTTCCCAAATCATTAGATTGTTGTCAGAACATATTTTTCTCTGGCCATTTACTCTTTTACTGAGGACACTGAGATTTTAAACAAAAAGCAAAGCAATATACCAAAAATTAATAGGGCCAGAAAATATAGATGTCAGTTTTCTTAATTTTTCAGTATTAACAGTAAGTTAATGTTGCTTTAAATCACAAAAGCAGTACATGGTTTTAAAATACTAGTCATGCCATTGACTGTTGACCATAGTAAAAAAAGAGATCTTTGCATTTCTATCAGTGACCAGATATATTGAGGCTACTTGTAGGATTGACTTACCACCTTTTATTTGAAGTGAAAATAACTGTCTGCAGTGCACTTATTATTGTTCCTATTTTCCTATAAAAACAAATCACAGACTTCTCTTTTCCCTTAGACTTTTATCATTCACCTGTTGAAATTGCAGAAGACATTAAGCATAAACAAAGAAGATTGATCTCCTTTCAACTTGTGTTAACAGGGATATAAAAATAACATCTCAAATACCAGGAGGAAAAGCATGTGGTCATAAAATATTCACTTAAAAGCCAAAGAGGTGTTGATACAACACTTGAAGAGGATTTTTTTTCTTTTATATCTCTCTCTCTCTCTGTCTCTCTCTATCTCTCTCTCTCTCTCTCTATATATATATAAAAAACCAGGAAGGCAGTTCCTGAATTTTAGTATAAAGAGACACCTCTGAGGTGGAGAGAGTATTACTGTCATATCTTTAAAAGATTTTACTGATACTCAAATGGATTTTGTGTCTTGCATGTTGCTGAAAAAAATCTGACAAGAAGGTTTATATAAGTCCTAGTCCAGCCATGAAGGGCAATCTCCTTGAATTTTCCAACATCTCAAAAAGATAAAGGACAATTTTATCTATTAATACTTCTCATTTTGCAAAATAGCACTAAGCAGAGCTTTTTAGAATAGCTGAAGCATAGAGCCACTGTTTACCAGGGCATTAGCTTACTTTTCAACAGCTCTTAAATCTCTGTCAACAGGTAAGATTAGACGATATATTCAGTATTTATGAAAAGAAATTAAAATACCTTAGATGAGATTGTAAATACCAGATTTCTATTCTTAAGGGATGTTGTCCTCAAATCTTAGTTTGAAGAAGGGAATCAGAAACCCAGGAAGCCACAACCAAAGCCGAGTCAGCAGTACAGGAATAGGCTGCCCAACCTTATGCTTGGTTCTTACAGCCGTCCTTGGTTGTTGCATTTTTCCTGATTTTTCTGTCATGGCAGATGAAGATTGTCACTCACTTACCCAGAGAAAACACTGCATAAGAGTCTCATTTCTTGAGAGACTGTCAGCATAATGAAAGATATGCAGGGAAGTCACCATATCACCTAAAGTGCCCATACTTACGATATGCTGCTAGGGTTTTGCACCTAACAGAGTGTGTGTCCTTTGACTTCTCAATAGATTGTGCCCGCAGACTGAGGAATAGCTGGTACTTAGCCCCCTGGCTTAACATAGGGGATAACACTAAGCACAAAGTCACTGATCTGTCGTCAAATCTGCTGTCAGGTTTATATGTTCTGCATTTTCCTTTTAATCCCATGCTGATTTATCTACATCTCATTCTTGAACATCACAACTCCATGGCTTTAGTCTGCACCTATTACAGCAGTAACCAAAAAAACCCCAACCAACCAGGAAAAAAAAAAAAAAAAGAGACTCCTCTAGCAGAGTACAAAAGAAACTTGATGCACAGCTAGGGACTTGACATGTCCCTCCTCATGAAGCCAACACGGATTTTTCCAGAAATGACAGTCAAAGACATCTACGTCAGACATGCTTAGCAGGGAACTGGAAGACAGACAATACTTAAAACATGGGCTTGTAATTATAGCACAAACTGTTTAGTGGGATCTCTGTACAGGTATTACAGCATCAGAGCTACAATCTTTCACAAGACATGTTTTCACAAAGTGCAGATAGATTCACAAAATAGTTTCTTGCTTAAGTTAGCCCTCACAGCAATTCCATGTAGTATAATTCTATTTAATGTAAAGTTAAAAAGCAGACACCCATTATTGTATCTTTAGCCCTAAGGGATAATCACTTATGCTAAGCAATAGCTATCCTTAGAACGTGAAAATACAATATTGAATCTGAACTGTTTTCACATCACTGTTCAGATGCAAGGAAGAAATCAAGAAATTTTCCTCCTATTATTAAAAAAAAAAAAGCATAATCTGACAGGAGCTCCTAAGCACCACATTCTCTAGTAAGGAAGAATCCTTAACACTTTGTGGATAGAGTCCATGTATTATCATTGCTACAACTACTACAAGTCTTCACTAGAAGCTTTTTACGTTTAGGCTGACAGCTTACTCAGCTAAGCAGTCACTGATGCTACCTGTGAGTGATTTCCCCCCAACTAGCAAAGGCAACTTGACATTGCAGAGCCACACCACTTGCAAGATCCACAATTTACAGCTTTTCTGACAATAGCCACTACAACACCAAGTATGATCGTCCCTATCTTGCTTCAAAAAACACTTTCTCTTACTGACACTAAGCTCCTTGCACTTCTTTGCTCAAACTGAAGCTTTCAAAAAAAAGACAAAAATCATTTTCAATTGACTTCACACCTGTTGCCACCTTCCTCTCCCTACCCCAAACTAGATGCTTCCAACTGCAAAGTGACTAGACATAAGTTTTGGACATGTTAGCTCAGCAAACTAGGTCCAACACAAGTCACAAAGAAAGACTTGGAATTCAGCACTGTGGAGGAATACAAGAGAGTAACACTAACTTGAAGACAAAGGTACATCTATACTGGTTAGCTGACCCTTTTCTCAGTAGACACCATCAATATATTTTCCGAGTTGATACTTTCAGGATGTCTTTACTTGTGAGTCTGAATGGGTTGTGCTTACTTAGGCCACCTAACTGTAACTTCATAAAACTAAATAGTTCTTGTTCAGGCTCCATCAGAAGTCAGTCTATTCACCTACTGGGAGAAGAGACAAACAGAAGTCTGTTACGTTACAACAGCAGTATGCTTAGTATTTCAGTAGTGTAATTTAAGATAGACACCAACCTCTGCTAGTCCTTTTGCTGCCTAAGAAGCACTGCTCCAGATGACACTTGCCCATGTGGATGTGGTTCTGCGCTGCGGTCTAGCAAGAAATTTCAGCTTTTAATTTTCTGTACAACACATGCTAGGAGTCTGTCATCGCTGAGCAAAGATTCAGGAGTGACTTGGGAAGTGCCTGTTTTCTTACCTAGTCTGTGTTTTCCAAGATTGCATCTCTTTGGACAAACAGCCCCTGAAGGCTGTTGCATACTGCTGCAGATCACTACACTGCAGTGGAAATACAGCTAGAAGACAAGAATATTTATATTATGTGTAGGGGAGTCTCATTTGGCAAGCATCTAGTGTTGCACTGACCTCAAAGGAGATGAACTGAACACTGCTAAGGGGCCAGTCTTTATTTACTACTCTTAGAGTGTTACAACTTCAAGGAGATGGCTACTAGCTCCAGGCAGCTCCTGGACAGAATTTGCCTCATGCACTACTCCAGGCTCACGTACCAGGACTGCCAACAGCACACGACAGACCATGGGGACATCTCACCTGCTCTTGTAACAGAGTTGTGCCTTGTACAAAGGTAAACATCCTCACTTCAAATCTCTTTAGGTGCTGAGGAAATTTTACTCTGAGACTATAGTTAACTTCATGGAAGACTGTTCGGTAGGAGTCTTCGCTGTTTTCACACCTTTTTGGGAAAGTGAAAATGTATTTAGTTTAAACCTTCATCACTTCAAGCGAATCTTTAAACAAGTCAAGGAGATAGAGATAGGGATGTTCCTCTAAAGTCCGTTTTTCTCTGGCCATAGCGGCATGGATAGAGCCTCCCCCATTCATGCTCTTTGTCTTTGGCCACAGTCAGGGTTGCTTTTTGTTTCTTCCCAGCTGGAAGCTCATGGCTAGGAGCACTTCTAGCCACCCCCGTGACCTGCCTTCTGGTGGCAGCATAGCCAGTGTTGACACTGACCTGCACTTCTCAGCCTAGCAATTGCATAGCCAGGACAAAACAACGCATCCAAATTGATTTCTGTCCTCTTCCCCCTTCCCCACAGCTAAGGTAAGGGGCCCTTGTGCTGAACAGTTACCAAATACAGGAGGGAAGCCCTCCTTACCCGTTTATAAGGATGGGCCACTGTGGAAGGCTGTCCTGGCTTTGGGATTTTGTAGCCCAACAGTCATCCAGGTTTAGTTCCAGTCTCGCATCTTCAGGCTGGAGCAGTTCAACTTCAAAATACAGTGCCTCCCTCAGGTATTTTAACACTGGATATTCTGATTCCTGATAGGGGTCTGAATAGGATTTGTCTAAAAGAGAGTACTTATGTTAGAGTTTCCTTTTTGCAGAGTAAGTATTCATGAATCCTCTGCTTCACTCTGCTTTCTGCCACCACTTGCTCTGGCACAGGAATAATAAAATCTATGAGAGCATATGGATGTTAGCAAATGCATACAGGATGGTAGAAAAATAAGATCTGAACTCTATTCCTTGGCTCTGAGGATCCAGATAGAGTTAGTCCTCCTGCAAAACCCCATTAAGGTAAGACGTTAATTTAAAACTGTCTCTATATTTAAAAAAAAAAAAAAAAGATAAAAATGGATCAGGTCCACTCCAGTCAGGATCAGGGTTTGGTTCAGGCTTCAGTTAGCCCTTTCTGCCTGTGAAGTGACTGTTTCACTGCAGTATCATAAGTAGCTTCTTTCTCTGACACAGATTATGATTTTTTCAGTTAGTGATAACTCTGCTTAGCAACACTCAGGCAGTTGGTAGGGAACGAAGTTGATATCATACCTACTACACAGAACTTTTAGTATATCCAGACCTAGCAGGAAAACCACACTTGTGTGAGTGATGACACAAGTATCTGCCTCATCCATTAGAAATACTTGGTCATTTGTGTTGCATTCTGGAATGGAAAACCTCCATTAGAGGCCTTACAGAGGTTTGCACTTCATCCTTGGAGTTATTAAAAAAATCATCTGATTATGGTCCTGTGCAAGTTGCTCTAGGTGGCCCTGCTTGAGCAGGGGGCTTAGACAAGGTGACCTTCAGAGGTCTCTTCCCACCTCAACCATTCCGTGAAGTCTAATCATAAATTTTACCTTTGAAAAGCTTCAGTGAAAGAGATAGAGAGCCAAGCCCTGGCTTAACACTGGGTGGTGGGTTCCTCTTAGATTCGTATCTGACATCAACAGTCTGCTTGATTGCATACGAGCACACAAACTTCAGTCTGAGGGAAGAGGTTTAACATTAGATTTTAGAAACCAAAATACCTTGGGCAACATTCTTCAGGGAATGGCACTTACTGGTATACTGGTGTATCATTGCCAGGTCTGAAGTAGAGTACAGCATTTTCATACGTCATAGTTGTGCTATTGAACTGAGAGACACACATCATTACAAACAGGACAGTTGGATTAGAGTTTACTTTGGTTTTGACACAATATGCACAGCTCTTCACTTGCCTGGCAGATTGCCCTGAGCACAGAGTGTTTAGGAATGGCCAGAAATTACTGGTCAAGAGCTCTATGCCTACCACACTAAAGCTGAAAGCTATGCCATAGTCGGGAAGAAACAGATTATTAGCCAACAATACCTTGAAATTGACCTAACAGCCATGAAAGGAATGCACTGGGCCTAAGAGTTCATTTTTTTCTGTTGACAGAATCAGTGTCTAACATAAGATGCAGAAGTAAGCTGCTTTTATGGTGACCTGAATTTGAGCAGCTTCTAATCCTTTGTTATTTTGCCTGTTTTCTACTTATGCAGTACGCAGGCAGCAGGAAAATGATTGACTCTAGGCAATTAACAACACCAAACCAGCTTTTGCAAGGCATATGAGTATATATCAACAGTGTAGACTCACATTCAAGTCTATCACTAAACAATTCAGAGTTGTCAAACTGAAGGCTAGTTTCAGAAAGCATCTCTGGCCTTGAAAACTCTTTTTACTAAATAAGGACTTTCATCCAACTGAAATTAGTATCCTCAGAAAAAGACTATAGGTATACTAATTATCAAAAAGCCAGCTGTGACCTTCTTGCAGCTTCTGCTCAAGTCTAAACCTTTGCCAGTCCCAGCAATAACCCTACCCCAAAACTTTACCTTTCTACTTGTTCCACAAGTGTTCACATTGAACTTGAAGGTTGCAGTCTTTTCTGTCACTAGGCTGGGTTTACATTGTCTGTCCCTCAAGACAAGCTGGTTGGTGTCCAGGTCTGAAATTCCTACAAATTTCACTGCAGTAATAACCACTGTGCCATTAGGCAGGCACTCTGGAAAAGAAAATGCAGTTTTCTATAGAAATTGGGACTCAAGTTCCTTTGTTTTGTCGCCTAGCTTGACACAAAGGTTCTGAATGGATTTGCTAGCAAGTGTTTCAGTAACTCACAAGGATTAAGTTTTGAGCAAGGCTCTTCAGTATTAACGTTTGATTTTCTTCAGGCTAACTACCAGTAGAATGTGCACTACCTGGGTAAAATCCATGATTTCACTCACCTTTTTCCTCCAAGGAGGTCTTTCCCCTCTCAAAGGAATTTTTCTAGCCAAGATATTTAATACATTCAAACTAGATGAGTAGCTTTGGAATGATCTATTTATAAGCTCATCCTCCCTATCTCTAGCCAACCCTCTCACAAAAAAAAAAAAACCAAACCAAACCAATCCCAATCAAAACAAAACAAAAAAAACAAGACACCCAAAACAATAACCCCAAACCAATCCCAAAACCCTTTCAAGAGCTTCATGCTTTTGGAAGCGTGAGTTGAAGTAGAGTTTCCCAACTCCTTCCCTCTCTCCTGTACTAGACAGGACAGTCATTCCTATCTGTAATTTGACTTGCTTTGTAACATATTACTGTATAGGAAATCTGACAGGCAGATAGGGTATCACAAGAAACATTTCAGACTTCATGGGCTTATGTGACTTAATTATGCAACTCAAAGAGTATTAATAGCTAAACCCCAACTTATTATTACGTATTAGCTCTGAAGGTGAAAATCTGCAGGAAATTGAGAAGTCTCTCCTTTTAGCCAAGGTGATGCCATCCTTCAAGGTTAAGCGGAGTGAAGCCTTTATTCCAGAGGTATGAAAACCCTACAGATGACAGTCACAGGTTAAGCAAGAGCATAAAGACACTCTTCAACTCAAGTATGCAAAAACTAAGAGGGCAGATTATCACAAGCTAAAGGTAATGATGCTTAATCAAAGTCAAATCCATAGGAGACTTTTTTTTTAATCTAGAAGGCAACACAATGAGCTTTTTCAGTTGTTTTGCAGTACAAACTCTAAAGATGGCCCAACCTTGAAATGCTTGGAAAAGATTTTTCTTGACTATTTCTATCAATATTAACCAAAGGAAATAAAAGTATTCTTCCAAGGGCAGCAAATAGTCCTCCATTAATCCTTTGAAGCCCAAGAAGGAGGTTTTATTTTATGACCCTCAAGGACATGGTATATCATGTTCATGTCTCACAGCCAGAGCATGCCTTTTAATTGCTACATGTTAGCATCCTTACCTCATAGTTCAAAAGGGAAGAAAGGAAAGGGACAGAGACTGCCAAGTGAGTGCCATTGTCCCTCAGGCTGTAGTTGTACTTCTGTGCAGCCTCTGGGGTCAGGTGCCAGTCTGAGATGAAGGGTACCCAGTTTTGGTCAATGTTCCCACGAGTGATAATGAGATGAAGGTTCCTCCCATCACAAAATCCTCTTGCACTGGGCAGTACTGTAATACAGCCAAGAGTCAGACAGCATGCTAGCTATCATCAGAGTTTAAGAGGGCTGTTTAAGACTGACAGCACCGCTGGCTGAAGTAAGCCCAGCTAACAGCTGAGCTCACAGCCAGGTTGGTACAGTTTTGCTCAAGTTCCACTAGTTTACCTGTGTCTTTAACAGTGGACACTGTTATGACTGGGACAGCGAAGCTCTCATTTGATGGATGGGTTATGAATGTAACTGTGACATTCAGGGTGTATGCTTTCATGTCTTCTTTCACGTACTAGGAAAACAATATTTAAAAATAAAAGTCACCAAGTGATATCGTCATTTCGTCATTTCTATACCATGGTATGCTGCAGTGTCAATACACACCTCTTCCTTAATGCTTGGTGCATCAAATGGGACTTGTATTACATAGGCTTTGCTTCCATTAGCATATCTGATCTTGTATGTTAGATACCCATGCTGAATGGCTTCAGGTACAGCAACAGTTGCCCCCTCAATGGTTAAGCTCACAAGCTCTACATCTGGGAGGAACCTTCCCACTGTCACATTCATTAGCCTTGCACTCAGATTTGAGTCTGAAAAGGAACACAAAAACATTAAGCTCTTATCAGTACCAAAGCCTTCAGTAAATTCCATGTTGGGCTACTTACTGTTGGTTATAGCAAGTTCTACTGGTTCAAATGGTGTTTCTATTTCCTTGATGATAGTAAGTTTGGTTAATCCCCATTTGTCATCTTCCCACTGATGTTCCAAGAACAAGCTGATGGTGTATTTTGCTCCATGCTGTCCACTGCTCACAGAAGTCTAGAATTTCAAATCAAAACCCTTTAGTATAACATGATTTTACATTAAAGATTTATCGTAACAACTCAAGGTCCAGCTGAAGATATAGGCTCCAAACAATTGTCCTTCTCAGCTCTGGAGCTCTGCTTTTATACTGGGAAAGAAATCACCAAAACCAGGGACCTCAGAAGATCATCTACTCCAATCCCCCTGCCGGAG